AGCGCACCTTTTGGTTTGCGCTTTGTAGACTGGGACATATCATCTCAGGATAAGGGTTTTTTACGGACTGGGCCCTCTCTACAAAGGAATTCTTCAGATTGACTGCTATGCCTTGACTCGATAATCAATAAGCCCGCTTCTAGACGTGGAGGAAACCACTAGTTCGCGAACTACAATCATTTAAGGACTAATCTGGTTCCAACGGAAAATCGACTGAATCCCAGCTGAATCTCTCGTTTATGGCATTCTTCATCATTTGGATGTACTGCACAAAAACCGTCTGGTGCTGGTACGACACTCTAGATGATGCAATGTATTTTTAGGGAACATACTACTTGCAAGGTTGCTGAAAACTCTCAGACATTTCTTAGTTGGTCTCCTTCTATTTAGATCTCATCAGGCAGGCCTCATCTCGGAGTTCCCGAATCGAAGCTCCGACTGGATTCAGCTGTCTTCCATTAAGACCAGATGAGTCTATAATTCAACGTATTTCGCGAATTCGGATCAGCTGGGTTACAAATCGAATATAAGATTGACGAAAACTCAGGGACCTCAACTGCTCGATGAGTCTAAGGAACAGCGTAACAGGTCGTGAGCTTTACAAGAATTTTTGGCAACCTTATGAGTAGTTTCCTTTATGAAAATGTACTGCGATATCTCGAATATCGTGCCAACTGAAACATAAGGTGGCCCGTGTGCACCACATTCAGCTGTAGAATATCATAAACAAGAGATTCAGTTGAGTTTCTGGTGAAAACCAAATTGCTTTGCAAATGAGTGAATTTCTCGAAATCTGGGCTCATGTAGAACACACAACTGACGGAAACTCGGGGACTTTGCCTACCTGATGGGTCCCAAGAAGGTTGAAGCCTATCGTGGGTTGCCGAGACAATTTCAGCAACCTTGTGAGTAGTACATCACTTTAAAAAAGTTGGTTCTTTATTCATGATTACCATTCTTGCTTCACTAGGCCACATGGTACTGTAGCCTTTGATCTTATAATTCAAATCCACGTGATTTTTAACGTTGAGCATCGCTCTGGGACCAACAGATAAATGATCACATCATGTATCATGGTGTAGCCATAGTACAGCCGGAATACACCAATCATAGTGCACAAGCACAACCATCAAAAGTAGAAAGACTTGTGAATAATGAACGATTTTGAGAAAGTCCCATTCACATGAGACTGCTGATTCCAAATAAATCATTGTTCGGGGGGCATAACCGGTTTCGGAAGGATACAAGCGCGGGGTCGAGCTGAGTTTCAGTCAAAGGCTTCGCTATAATCATCTCCATTCGCTAATGGGCGTCTCGTACATCAGGTGGTGCGACATTCGAAATGTTGCATTGTATTTTCTTGATGGAACGATCTACTCACAAGGTTGCTGAAATCTCTGACGTCCCACGACCGAGCACTTGTCAGGCAGGCGCACTCGAATATCCCGCTAACACCATCTCCGTCTGCTAATTTGGTGTTCTAGTACAAAATCGGATGAGTTGAAATTCGCGGACGTATTGAGCATCAAATCGATTGAAGCAACAGCTTCATCGATCGTATGAAATAAGTGGTTTACTCAGTCGCATGGCTATTGTAAAGTGTGTTTGAAGCGAGAACTCTAAGCTTTTTAAAGTGGTGATGAAGTGAAGAAGACGACTGGTGTTGGCTTGGATAGCTTCGTAAATCAGGGAAAGTTATACGCAATTAGATTTCTCGTCCCACGGTGTCCTGATACAAAAACCAACTCCGCTTTTACTATTTCAACCCTTCAGAAAAATCTTGCACAGTCCATGACTAGTTTCCCCTTGTCGGGGCTAATCAGCAACCTTACGAGTAGTATGTCATGTCTGTACAATGCATTCCGGTATCTAGAATGTCGTACCAAATAGAAAAAACATGAAGCGGCCCGGTGCAGCACATTCGATTGCTTCAAAACATCATAAACGAGGGATTGAGCTGGATTGCGTTCCAGGTGAGTGACTCGTGTAAACCGAATGAGTGTGTGAATCGAATCTGATCGTCCTCATTCCTCGTGGGGCTGAGCAAAAATTCGACGCAGGTATCTCCATTGGCGAAGTATTTTACGTACAATAGCCGCATCTTTTATCGTCATATACGTTTTTCCCATCAACCCGGATTTCATTTCACAGTTGCTTGTGGCATGGCCTCTCTGGTGAGTTCAGGTGGCGATAAATTTAAACATTTAGGCCAATACAGCTCGTGTTCTTGTGGCTTGCCAAAAAGAAAAAAGAAACAAGCAATCAGGCTGAAGCAAGGAAACTACCAAGAATAGAAGACGCCGTCACAACCAAACAGATCCAAAGAAGGAAGACCACAAAGAAACACAAACCAGGAACGGACCAACTGCAAACAGACCTGAAACACCCCAAGGCAGCCATCCAACAAACCAATGAAATAAGAGGCATACAGACCACCACGCAGCAAAAAATCGCGGTCGGTCCCACAATAGTGCAACAGAAGGTAGATACCAAATAGCTAATCACATAACAGGATATTAGATACTCTACAAAAATTACATAAACGCAGCCAGGCACGATGGAATCACCCACTCAACTGCACGCTGACGATGTCTCCTCGACTGGGGACGAAACGTTTGCAAGTCAATTGCCAAGCCCGGCGAACAGATCAACTGCCATCCGATCAACCACCAGTAAACACACCCGAGTCGCCTATATTTCGGCAAACTGACATTTCCGAATCATCCCGAACGTGTGGGATCTGAAAACTCGTTGAAATCTGGTATGATCTCAACTTGCTGAATCAGTGAACTAACTAGATTGAGAAATATTCCGGATTCTGGACGACAGACCACGCTTTATTGCCAACTAATTGTATATGTAGGTGGTGGGACGACCAAAGCGGAAACATAGTTTCAACCCAATCAACAAAGTCTTTATGACAGCTTCATGCTGGGCACCACAGGGTACCAAACCGAACAGGCGGCTACTTCGACGAGGCACGTACGAGCACTGGCAGAATGACAAAGCAATTCATATCAGTCCTATGGACTCACTCCATGATCTGAGCTGGGAATAGCCTAGTGGTTAAGACGGCAGTCGCCTAGTTCGAACCCAGGCCTGTTACCTCGATCGCTTTCGTCTAAGTATGGGCAACCTGGCACTATCTCAGGTTAGTCGTGCTTCCTTCGTTAGGCGTGGTAGCTACGCGCCAAAATGGTGGCACAGCTGAATAATTTTCAGTATGTCGGTAGTTCTTGATGATATGCGGGAGAGAGTGACGTTCTATGGCTTAGTTTCGGGGCGAATATCTTCGAATATGAAGCAGTTTTTGTGGGTTGTGGGTTTTTATAACGCAGGTAAGGACACCACGCTCATGGAAGAGGCAACTTCGATATTCCCCACATACCCTCATCCAGCTCTGCACTTCTGTCCGAAACGTGACTGATCAGATGAATTCGCGGAACAAATCCGAAGTTCAGTTCGGTCGATGTTTTTTACAGGACAACGAGTTTGTTTTTAGTTCTTCCAAAGAATACCTCCATCAAGTCAGTGTTTTGTGCGCCTCAACCAGAGTGGATGGGTGGGGGGTGGAAAGACACGCGCACAAGTTTTGTCCAACGATAATGGGGTGTGACTGATATCATCTTTGACTGAACCGAAAACAATTCATCCAACCTGAAGACGTGCGTGTGGTGTTGTGTGTTTACGACTCTGGATGGTTGCAATTTGGTTGCACTCAAGCAGATGGTAGGCAATCGAAATTCGCGCTTCGAAACCGTGCGATTTATCCGGGCGCTCGCAATAAAAGGAGTGGAATGTGACCATTTTCCAAACCAGAACGCGTCCCCCTCCCCTAAAGTGAGTTGTACCGATTTAGGCACATCCGGCTTTTTTGGCAAGACGCTCGCATATTTGTCAAAGCCCAACACTGCCGAAGATATACCCCGCTTTTGAACTCTGATACGGGGAACCCCGCGAGTGATAATGAATACAAATATATTGAATATATATCGATCGTTTTGGCTGATTACCCATATCCGCCAGCCCCCCCCCCAAATAGTAGTAAAGGCGCATAATCCCAATTTGATAAAAAGCTTTGATCATGGTGGCAAAGGGTGATCACCAAGCTGAGGTCACAGTCTGACTAGCCACTGGCTTATACTATCTGAACGTCTTGTTCAGATGGGCAGCTTTCGTTAAAGATGACGCGACGAACCGTGACAAGTAATACACATACTACTTATAAAGCCTGGAAAGCGGGCTTTCGGAGTTCAAATTCAGGTGGAATAATCAGTCGCTGTGAATAAAAGTGAACTGTAAACACTGCCATTTTATGTTGTCTGGCATGGTAGCTATGATGAATTAGAATTAAAAATTTTCATTCGAAATCAACACTGAATACAAAAACGTTATGGTTGGAGATACAAAATTGTTTACTATGATTCATCTGTAGAGAAGATTTCACGTAAAAATGAAAATTTATGTCTCTCCTTGTAGAAAAACGCACTCAGCTGTAGCACCCTTTCGGTGCCTAGCTGCTATGCCACCCGAAGAGAGCACGAGGGCTGGGGTACTGCCAGGTTGCCCAAGTTTAGACGGGGGAAGTCGAGATGCAGAGGTTGGGTTCGAGCCATGGACCTTCCGTTCATTGACTTCGTGCTCTAACCACTGAGCCACCTCACCCCGTCTCTTCTTGGAGAAACTGATATCTCTTGATTGGATCTTCTTACATTAAGTAATGGTTGGTAGGGATCCTTGTTGTGATCACAATTCAGAAGAATCTTTTGTGGTGGGCTTGCGGAGAATAGTGTAGTTGATAGTATAGTTTACACGGATTGACTGACAAAGCCTATTGAGAGGATAGCCAAGAACGAACTAAAATCATACCAGTTTACTTTAACTCGCCTTTCACGATTGGTACGTGTCAACGTATTACGTTTCTTTAGAAAACAGCCAGTCAATGTTTTTAGATTTTCTATCTCCGATTCATGATATTCTTCTAATTACTCACTCCACAGAGTTGACAAGCTCAAACACGGCAGTAGTAGAGAAGAACTAATCGAGGAAGGCGTAGATGTCCACCAAACTGAGATGGAGGATCATTCAAGTGAGTTGTGAATTCATGTGGAGTTGGATACGAGACAAGGACACACAGACCTCGTTACAACTAAATGACGGAAGTGTGTGTGTGTGTGTGTGTGTCAGTGATGAATCTCAAGGGGTTAACAGAGTGCTAATAAGCACTTCGTCTTGCCAACTCCGTGAGCGATGCGGAATCCACTACGCATTCAGCGAAGCCCGGCAATCATGGTGCATCTCGAACAGAGCTTCCACGAAAGCACTTTAAGGAACCCGAGCACTCAGGGCAACTAGCACTCTAAAGTGGCATGAAAACCGGATGTGGATAGAAAATTACACGAGGTGTGACCCAAACAGTGACAGTTCTATGATTGTGGCGACATCGAGTTCAAACCTCGGCTGGGAGGCTCTCACTGGAAGAGTAATAAAGTAGAGTTGACACACAGAGTGAAGAGAGAGAGAGAGAGAACTGATCTCCACAGGAATGCTCCTGCTGGCTGGCTATCTACTGGCAGTTGATCTGTTCACCAAACCTGTCCAAGTGATTCGGCATGCGCCAAGTGCCGTGTGCACACACCCTTAAAACCGGGGAAATGACTGAATGGTAGACAAAACCGGACAGTTTTTGGAAACCATCGACATGTGATAACGAGAAGTCATTTTAGGACAGCAAGCAGTAAAATATATGCTACTATGGTAAAGTGGACGAAAGCCCACTCCGTCTTTTCTGCCTGACCGATCTCAAACTACTAGAAATGACAGGAAATCGACTGATATAAGTGCGGGAGAATTCCTGTAACAATCGATTTGTGTACGGCCCTGACTGATTCATTAGAGCTGCGAGTCTCACACCTTTCAGCTGACCGCTCCTGTCCGTTTTCTCTTTATATAAGACGCAGTTGAGCCGCTCGTACTTTAGTACCACTCAAAAGCGATTCTCTCCACTTTGGAAATGCACATCAGTGCCCCTCGCCGCCTTGCTCCCACCGAAAAACGCACAACCTCAGGGGAGATCCAATACATCCAGTGGTCTCGGGGAGTAGGTGCGTAACAAAAATTGGAACAGGTTTGGTCCATTACCACTAATCTGTAAATGGTACGTGTGCAGTATTCAAATTTAGAAACGAAAATATCTACTTTGAAATTCATGGACAAGCTTTTTGACTGCCTCACAACCGTTCTCCATCACGAAAGCGTTTTGATGTTATGTTTACCCTTTTTTTCAGGACAGCGTCCACTCCTTTTTCTCAATTTCCTGTGCATTTTGGAACAGAGTTCTTAGTTTGGCATTTTTTTTAAAGTTAAAACGCAGCGTAGTGGAATGAGATATTGTAATCTGACGTTTCGGTTGTCGTGGTCAGCATTTTTCAAGGATTTTCACAATCAACCGAATGCGAGTCAAATGCAGCGTCATTTGGGTCCAATGTCCTGTCTTCTGATTGGTGTATCCGTGTGACCAGTTGGCAGTCAGACGCGGCCAACGTGCGTGGGTGTGCATTAGCTCTGTGTGCGTGTGTGCGTGGTTGTGTGTGTACTTTGATTTTCATTCGAAATCAACATCAAATACAAAAACTTTATGGTTGGAGAGAGAAAATTGTTTACGATGATTCATTTGAAGAAGTGAGGTCAAGAAAAATTGGAGATTTGTCTCTCCTGAGAGAAGCTGACATCTCTTGATTGGGCCTTCTCGCACTAAATAATGATCGACAGGGACCCCTGCTGTGACCACTATTCAAAGACTTTTCTTTTGGTGGGATTACGGAGAGCCCAAGAACGAACTGTGATCATACCAGTTCACGTTAAATCGCCTTCCGTGATTCGTGCATGTCAATGAGTCAAATGCAGCATCATTTAGGTCCACTGTCATGTCCTCTGATTGGTGTGTTCCTGTGGCCAGGTGGCAGTCACACGTGGCCAACGTGCGTGGGTGTGTGTTACCCCTATGTGCGTTACGCGTGATTGTGTGTACCTTGATTAGGTGCGTCTCCATTTGTTGCTGTACTGGCTGTGATGCGTCATTGAAGTACACGCACGCACGCACACAACGAACACAGCTAATAGACACGGGGCCCATTAGCCGCACAATGCTCTTAGATGCAAAATCTTTACGAATGTAGTAAAACTTTTTGCGCCAAAATGTTGCATTTTGTTGCGCAAGTGCTCAAACCAAAAACCATCCTAATCCACTGAAGCAATCATACCTCTGGCGGAAAAATCTGGTGGAATAATTTCCCAGCATCGCTGGGACCCCGAAATACCTAAATGGGGCTCAAAAGTTTGGCCTGGTACTCTGAACCCAATCGCCCGATTGCTTTAGTCCATCAGGGACACGTCATAGCTTTCGAAAATTCAGTTCCATCGTGCGAATGCTGAGCGCCAATAGACACTCATCACACATGCTCATCTGATATGACGGCCAACTGACCACAGGAACACACGATAGTGGACTCAAACGGCGCTGCATTTGACTGGTATCCAGAAATCCTTGAAATGTCTGACTACGGCAACCGAAACGTCGGATAACGCTGTTCTGACTTTAAACGATTCCACAGTAGCATTATCCGAGCCAAATTTTGCCCTCAACTTCTAGAGCTCTTACTTAGTTGTCGTTCTTTCCTACACTCCTGGACTACTCCCGGTTGACTGGTAGGCAAAACCACGGAGGTCTTATCAGAGCCAAATTAGGCAAAGGATTAGCATGGATTACCAAAGATATGAGCTGAAAAACCAACCGGTAAACGGGGTTATTTTGTTGGCGCACGCCTGCACTCACTCATAGATTCATTGCACCAAGAGGCATGCAATGACAGACAGTCATCTGAGTGATGACTGCCATGGCACGAAACACAACTCTGTCACTTTTCGCTAACCGATTTCTTTACTGATCACCTAGAACAGCTGATCGCCTCGCAGAGAAGCGATTCCACCCGTCCTGAGATTACAGCCAGTCATGGTGATATCACCAGTGAGTTTATCTTCGATTTCCGACAATCATTTGCAACGGCTGAGTTGCTGTCAACACTGTGTCTAAATGACCTCCCTGTCAATAATCGGGGGAAAGGAATGTGGGAGAAAACTGATAAGCTTTCAGTGAGTTGCAGGACACTAGTAGGAAAATGACTATAAAATGCAAAAACAAGCAAGTCGATTTGAAAAATGCTGATTTTCGAAGTGGCGAACTTCCGGCCAGTGGTTGGCGGCGAGGGGCTGATAAGCAGTGTGATTAGCTCTCAGTTGGACAGGACACAGAAATCACGTCACGTGGCCGTGCCTGTTGACCGGTTCCTCGAGTGATGGGTTGTCAAAAGCAGCTCAGAGGAGGGATAATTTTACAAGTGAGTGAAACTTCCGTCATCTAGTTTCGTCTAGTTTCCTTCAGTTGAAAAGATGGGCTTGCTAACAGTAGACAAGGCAGCACGAAATTTGTTTTATATCCTTCCCAGTCGCGGCACGCCAAATATCGATTCGCTTCGGTTTTATTTTCCAAAATTTTTTTCTCCATAGAAAATCGACCATATTTTCGAATTTGTACCCTATCTTTCAGAATCTGTCACCGAGGAGGAACTGGAACGGGTTATACGTGATTTCGATTGGTGCTTGGAGGTGCTGGAAAGTTTGCAGTGCAAACGATCAGTGAGCAGCTTGGCGAGAGCGAAAGTAAGTTGTTGTTGTGACTCCCACGTGAATCCCTCAGGTAGTGAAGTGAAGTAATTTAGAACGTCGTGGTTATCCCCCGAGCGAACAGACGTCTCTTCTATCCTGACAATCGTCAACTATCTTCCAGCCCCGTAGAAAGTGTTTTGTTCTTCCTCAGGTCACTAGATCACCAATCGTTGTAATCAATACAGACTTACAAAATAGTGAGAACGTCGGGTTGCCCCCCCCCCCAAGCACCAGGAGAAACTGTAGGTAATTCCACCGATACCGTAGTTCTTCCCGGTCACTGAGATTACCAGAAAATAAGAATTAGCCAATCTAAGACCAGGAGGAAAATGTTGAAGTTACTTATGGCAATTAGTTGACCAGCTATGACCAGTTGGCAAAAAAGGGCGTGGAACCCTGGACGTTTCTTTTTTGTTGTCGGAATCAGAAACGGTGAACGGAAAACTGATAAACTGTTCCTGCGAAGTAAGCTGTGAGGAGCAGCTCTGTTCAGATAAGAGGGCAAGAGATGACCCCATGCAGATGGCTAATGCATCACCATCGAGACTCTCAGTGATGCCTGGTACTCTTTTACCTGTTCATCTATCTCTCATTTTCATTGATATGGAATGGAAGCTGTATTAGTTCTGACTGTAATGTGACAGATGTGGTGAATGCACGAATCTGCAAGGCCTGGGTCGCTCTAGCCAGTTTGAGACACCTATGGCTTCAGAATGGTTTATCCCTGAATCTGAAGGGACGTGTGTATCAAGCTACAGTACGGGCTGTTTTGTTGTGTGGCTGTGAGACTTGGCCTATTCAAGCAGCTGAACTGAGACGTCTTCAGGTGTTTGACAATCGTTGTCTCAGAACCATAGCTAGTGTGGGTTGGTGTCGGCGATTCCGTAATAAAGCAGTTAGAAAGCGCGTTTTCGGTTGTGCGACGGGTATTTCAATTGGAGAATGTGTCCAGCACCAGAAGCCGCGTTGGTTGGGACATGTGTTGCATATGACTAACCATCGTTTGCCGAAGAGAGTGCTGTTTTCGTAATGTACTATTCATAAGGTTGCTGAAAATCCGTCGACAGCCCACGACCGGTTTCGCCCTTTTTGGGGCTCATCAGGTAGGTGATGTTTTCCATGCCCAATTCAGAGTGGCGTAAACAGAGAGGTGACCAACCCTTGACTTGGCAGAGGAGTATGAAGGAGATCACGAAACGCTTGGGTGCTGTCGATGCTACTCGCCCTCCACGATGGGGACCGCCTGATCCTCACTGTGCCTGGTTGGAGACACTACAAGATATGGCTGCCAACCGATGACAGTGGTGATCTTGTTGTCAGTTTCTATCCAGGTTGCCTGAGTGGATGTCTAAAGGTATAGGCATCTCAGAATGATTGTGGTAAGCCAGCACTATGTCCCTTCCCCGTCCACCTTTATTCTTTTATACCCACAATGAAGCTTTCAAATAAATCATGGTGGTACGGCAGCGAACCATCGGTGTTAGACACTGACGTCGATGAAGGCGTTAGTCGAACATGCGCGGTTCACGATGGAATGTGATGAACTCCCACTTAGACAAGATATAGGGCCACTCATTGTCCTTTCTCAAAAGTGCCCAGTCGAGGAGCCAATGAAATCGCATAGATCCACGTTATGTGAATCCATGGTGGAAGAATGAGTGGCGCTCGTGATCGAACGGTTTGGTGTTCAAACTAGTATGGGGGACGTGGCCAACCGATTTCAATGGCGTTCTTGTTGCCAGTTTCTATCCAGATTGCCTGAGTGAGTGTCTGAAGGTATAGGCACCTCGGAATGATTGTGGTAAGCTAGCACTAAGTCCCTTCCCTCTCTACCTTTACTCTTTCTTCTTTACAATAAGGCTTTCAAATAAGTCATGGTTGTACGGCAGTGAAGCATCGGTGTTGCACACCGAGGTCATGCTGTCGATCATGATGATGATGATGGAATGCTGACTTATCAGGTGTAGGAACGTTCGGTATATCACCTCCGGCTGCGTTTTCAAATAAGTTCTCTTGTTCCAGGGTGGTTCTTACTGATCTTCGCGTAGTTATCTGCTCAGATTGGTACCATACATGAGGATATAAGTATCGCCTGGTTCGCGCAAGCGGTTGATACTTCACGCCGGAACCGATAAACTGTTTCCAGGAATGCTCGTCCACACTGATAGTTGAACGGATTACTGCTAAAAAATGGTCCCTCTAAGTTCAAGTTCAAATATGGTCGGCTGTCCAGACACATTGAATTGGGCATAGCCATCGTGCACCGGTGTTTATGCATCTTGACTAGCCGTAATGCTGACTATCAGTTGACAAAACTTTGTTTAAACTACAATTGTGTGGATTCGAACTAAGGGTGGATATAAACGCAAGCAAAAGTGAACGTGATGATCCACACCCCGAGAATTTGATTGCTTGTAGGGTAACTTTGTCGACTTTATAGCGATACCATTCAACAGTATCTCCATCGCTGATCCTAGTTGGGAGGTAGACCCGCCCACGCTCAATCTTTTGCAACTGAGCCAAATCATTGTAAGAAAAACAAGTACCTGTAGACGTGAATGAATGATCACTAACGGTTGGATAATCAAACAAACACCCAACACAGCGCCAGTGGCTGTAACGATGGGGTTAGATCGGGAATTTACTGGCCGGAAAGTCCGCGATTCGAACCCAACCTCTGCCTCTCGACTTCCCTTGTCTGGGCTTGGGCAACCTGCCCCTATCCCAGCCTTCGTGCTTCCTTCTGGTGGTTAGACACGATTTCCAACAGCTGTCAGTGTACATCACTTTGTCAGCACCCGGGATTCTGGCACAGATAGCCTAACCTTTCTTTGGGGGGGGGGATCCACCAATTGATCGGTTTTCTGGAGCTGCCAGAGTCCTCTTCAAAGTGGCCAGAATCACTGAACTTTACGGAATATCTCGCCTGGTTTATGGGAACAAATTCAAATTTGAACGAGGGAACCACTGAATCCAATGTTTGGCATCACCCAACTGGGTTTTGTAGGCGCTTTACTCAACATGGAGGAACCATCGGTTGTCATGGCAACGAAGCTCCTTTCAAAATGTTACTGTTTGTGTTCTCCTCTGTGTTTTCCGGTACCCAGGTGTGATCACAAAGCAATTAGAGGCGAATACATGAAACAATGCAATGGTGCCACACCATCTGCTCTGGTAAAGTTGTCGGAAGCAAACAGTTATCTTGTGGAGCACGCAAAGACCGTTTTGTTTTGCCTCTGTGATTGCCGCAGTGTACCGCGATGATCTCAGTGCCCGTGGATAAATGACAAATTGAGCGGAATGTTGGAGATTAATACAACACACGCCTAAATTCATTCCAATAAGCCTATGTGTAATCAACTGCCAAATCAGCTTTGATCTGACCGGCAGTGTTCCATTAGCTCCGGTGATTTTGAGTTACAGACTCAACAAGGGTGAAAAAAGTCGATCTGCCGTTTGTTTCAATCGGCCGTGGTAAGCCTGTTATGTCAGTGCTCCCAGGCTATATATATATATATATATATCATGGATTTTATCCCGTAAGTTACAGTGAACAAAACACTGCATAGCTGTTTCGTCCACAGAAATATATTTCCAAGGAATTTCATATAGAGATCACTTAGAACCGAGCGGAAGCTAAAACGAGCCCTACTTCTATATGTCAACAAGAACCTCGCTGAAATCATCATCGACTACTCATTTGTCGCACAGTGGTTATAGCTGTCATAGTTACCTTCACCGATGACTTGGAGAGGTAGAGGGGTAAATGGCTACGCGTTGAAGGCTGGATCTGGTATAACTGATACGAGAACACTATCAGTTGGGGAGATTGGGAGGGGAGCTATGCCTTGAAGTCATGAGCTTGGATGCACGAGCGCCAGTGAGAGCGCGACTGGGCCATACCCGAAAGTGTGTTTCCTGTTTTGACGAATTCAGCTGGGTTCGCCGGTACTGACTTGCCTCCAAGTCATTGTTTGATCTTCTCTGAGTGGTTTCCACGCTTCGCGGGGTTCTGCATAAAGGACTTTCGAGGAAGTCGGTCGACTGCCATACGGCAATGCAACCTATTCAGTGTGATCAGTTCATCTATCGTGGGAGAGTTGCTGCTTCCGAAAACCATTAGACATGCTTTAGTATTACTGATCCGGTGTTCTCACCAGATTCGGGCAATCCTCAGGAGACATTGATGGTCAAGTCTTTTGACGTCATCGGCCCGCAGTGGTCAGGTTTCTGACCCGTATAACAGTATGGAGCGCACTGCAACACTGTAAACTTGACCCTTTACGGATAAACTGATGTCACGCCCACGCCACAGGCGATGAAGAATCACATAGACTGACTTGAATGCAAGGCTCTTAGGACAGTACAATAAGCGGTCGACCACAAAGTTTCGAACACCTTGCAAAGGGCACCATCAGAACCAGAAGAATAATCTGATCCAAGAACAATGCCATACAGAGGACTAAGTGCAAGAACTGCCACACTGATATATAGGGCAAACGAGAAAGGTTCTGCTCTCCACCAGAATGCATGAACACAAGCTGACTGCTGAAAGACGCTACCAGTGAAGGGAGGAAGGCGTTCACTGCGAAGTTACCTATTAGAAAATGACAACTGAAAAGTTAAAGACTATTGGACAGGGAAGCAGAACTTTCATATGCATCTTATTTACAAAAACTGAACATCCATTTTCTCCTGAACGCGTCTCCACCAATTCCGCAAAAGACGCGACTCCACCAATTCCGCAAAAGACCTGCCTTTTCAAAAGACGCAAAGCGAATTTACAAGAAGAAACCATACTACTCGCATGCCTCTCCCATCAGTAGTATCACCGTTACACTAGTTATCTTTTATCCATATTCACAGGAAGGATGCGAGTTCGACTGGAGCGGCGTTCTTCATGTACTCAGACAATCTCCTCATACTATTAACCTGAGCACAAGCGAGGCACAGAGCTGCTCAGTAGCTCGTGGCCGACCGGTCAATTAAACTAC